AGCTGGGATCACAGGTGCCCGCCACAACGCCCGGCTATTTTTTGGTTGCAGCCGTCATTGTTGTTTGGCGGGCCCGGGCTGGATTCAAACCCGCCACCTTAGGTGTATGTGGCTGGTGCCTTAGCCACTTTAGCCGCAGGCGCCGAGCCTCATTGCAGGTTTTAACAGAAGTCCTGAAACACATTTACAAGAATTGTTTTCCTCATATACGTATCTTTTCCAATGGATCTTTAAAGTAGAACATGTAGCCCACTGGGAATTAAGAGATTAAAAATACCTGATGATTGGAGAGCAATATTGTTAAAATCCAAATCTGAGTACATGGTGTAGAATCTGATCCATAGAAAAACAATCCCCGTGTAAAGATTTCCCTCTGAAGACATAACAAAGGGTGGTAATATATAGCCAAGAACAAGGTTATTCACCTAATGGGGCTTACCTCCAGAGCTGGCTCTTCCTACCTCCTCAGCAGAGACTATGTCCTCCCTTGACAGCCCCTCCAGAGCAGAGGAGATAAGGGAGTAAGTGACCTTTCTTCTTTGGTCATCTATTTTATTTATATTTACATTTTATTATTTTATTAATTTATTTATATTTTATTTTATATATTTGAGACAGAGTCTAGCTCTGTCACCCAGACTAGAATGCAGGGTCATCATAGCTCACTACCTCAGACTCCTGGGTTCAAGCGATACACCTGCCTCAGCTTCCAGAGTAGCTGGGACTACAGGGGTGCACCACCACACCACTATCGTAGAGATGGGTTCTTGCTCTTGCTCAGGCTGGTCTCAAACTTCAGGCCTCAAGCAATCCTCCCACATCTCCCTCCAAGAGTGCTAGGATTATAGGCATGAGCCAGTGCACCTGGCCTGGCCACTTTTAAAGGTAGCTTTTCTTCTCTATCAGTGACAGAAAAGTGGTACATTACCAGTGATACTGAACCCCTGATAGAGGGAACTACTTCTTTGATCTATAAGCATCCTCAGTGCATAAGAAGAAAGGAAATAAATTATTTGAAAATGTTATTTTATTTTGGGGCGATTTAAAGTGGATAAAAGATAGAAAATAAAGGAAATATCAAAGAAGGAAGACTGTATTTTAGCTATACAGATATAGAACTAAAAATCAAGATGCTTTGGGTGGTGCCCATAGCTCAGTCAGCAGGGCACCGGCCACATACACTAAGGCTGACAGGTTCGAACCCAGCCAGGACAGCTAAAAAACAATGACAACTGCAACAAAAAAAATAGCCAGGTGCTATGGCGGGCGCCTATAGTCCCAGCTACTTGGGAGGCTGAGGCAAGAAAATCGCTTAAGCCCAACAGTTTGAGGTTGCTGTGAGCTATGATGGCGTAGCACTCTATCCAGGGCGACAACTTGAGACTCTGTGTCAAAAAAACAAAAAGAGAAAAATTAAGATGCTACATACCAAAATTAATTAAATCAATTATTTAGAGGTATTTATGGGAATATCACACTGATTCTTATATAATTTGATTCTTATATAATTATACCATTTTATGAACCATCTTTGGAGAATTACAGGCTATGGAGAATAGCAATAATAATGATGAAGATTTTAACACTACTGGCTTTCCTTTGGGTGCTTATTCAGTACTGTTTTAGATGCTCCCTACACATTATCTCTTTTAAATCTTACAACAACCCTGATGCAAGTACTACTATTATTCCTAATTTACAGATGAAGAAACTGGGGATCAGGAAGAATAAGTTACTCACACAGGGATGAGCACAGTGAAATTCAAATTTAGGATGTTAGATTACAAAGTATGAACTTTTAGTCTTTGTATTGTACTGATTTTAAACAATTAAGAAAAAACAAACTTATTAACTTAGTCACCAAGAAGAATTAAATTAGGCCTCTCAAGCTAGTCCCTTGAAATGCACTGTTCTATCACCTCCTAAATAAAAAAGTGCCTATTTTAAAACCTCTAGCCCTCCTTACCTGGGAGCCTTCCTCATTGTAGTGCCTAGCATTGCGGAACATTAGCTTCATGTCTTCTATCATTCCCTCTTCGCCTGCATATTTGTCATTGCGGATGTTATGCTCAATTATTTTCAAGTCCATTGGCTCCAAAATGATTTTATAATAGTCAGGATAGTCCTTTTTAGATGGTTTAACCATAAACAGATCACAGAGTCTTCTGCCTGAACCTGGTTCTCGAGCTTCAAGAACAACATTGAATAAGATTTTCATTCGCTGCTTTCTTATATTCTTTTTACTGTTGAAGGAGGAGGTAAAAAAGGGGAAAAATGAGAACAGGTTCAGTTTTCTTTATGCAAGGATGAACATGAAATGAAACAGATTAAATCTTGTGGGTTGGTGCTTCATAATGATTACAGTTTATTGACTACATATGCCACAAACACAGTAAACATGCTGGAAGCTATAAGCAAATATTAGGAAAATTTCCAAAACAGTTAAAACATGGTGACCCTGGCAGGAGCAGCCAATCAATACCAGATAAACCTGTTTAGAATATCTTATGAAATGCAATATTTGAAAAAAAGATTTTGCCTGACACTGAAAGAAAATGAAATTCTATGATCAAATGAAATAAATTTTTTGTTAAAAGAACAGAACAAAAGCATAAGAAAATTAGCGATTCCTTATTGTTACTACTATTCTCATTTTCAAGCACACACACACAAAAAAACCCAAAAAAACATAACAAAGATAAGCGTCCCCCCACTGGTAAATCTGACTGGTTAAAAAAAAAACAAAACAAAAAAACAACAAAGATAAGTATTCCATCTCTTAAGACAACTATTCCTAAAAAGAAAAAGAAAAAAAAAAGACAACTAATCCTGAACGGTTTTATATTTGGGTTCCCAGAAAACAAAAGGCAACTGTCTGCCAGACTAGGTGTCTCCATGGTGAGTATGTGGTACAAGTCACTCTTGTATTGATCCTGACAGGATCAATCCCTGCTTCCTCCCTCCATCAGTATTATTCCACAGTCCCAACCCAAATAATGACTGTGGCTCATCTGAGTTCTCTAGAGTAAATCTTCATCCTTGAATATGAATCCCTGCCTTTTTCTCCAGATTCCCCAAGTGAAATGTGATGTGGAGAAATTGCTGTGAGTGATATGGAATAAAGTACAAAGGACCATAAATTAAAACCAGAATTCAAAAGGGGTCCAAGGCAGCAAACAGTCTTGCCCCTTAAATGTCGAAAAAAGTGTCTCAGAGAGGCTAAATAACTTGCCCAAGGTGAGCTGTCCAGTAACTGTTTAGAAGAGATACTCTTTGGAAAAGTCTGCTGGTTAACTATTCTTATGTCAAGGAAATAGTCAGGTAGGTAACAAGAAATGACTTATGTTTTAATTTTTATTCAACAAATATTTACTAAGATCCAATTTACTAAGGTCTTTTGGTATTTGTGGGGGACTGGTTGCAGAACCTTCTGCAGATACCAAAATCTGCAGATGCTTAAGTCCCTTATATAAAATAGCATTGTACTAGCTGGGCACGCTTAGTCCTGTAATCCTAGCATTGTGGGAGGCCAAGGCGGATGGGTAGCTTGAGCTCAGGAGTGTGAAACCAACCTGATCAAGAGCAAGACCCCTGTTTCTACTAAAAGTAGAAAAACTGAAGCAAGAGGATGGCTTGAGTTTAAGAGTTGGAGACTGCTGTGAGCTAAGATGCCACAGCACCCTACCTAGGGTGGTAGCTTGAGATTCTGTCTCAAAAAAAGTGCAGTATTTGTATATAACCTATGTACTTTCTTTGGTATACTTTATTATTTATTTTAGAGTCAGGGTCTTGCTCTGTCACCCAGGCTGGAATATAGTGGCTCCATCACAGTTCACTCTAACTTCATACTTCTAGGACTCAGTCATCCTCCTGCCTCAGCTTAGTAGTAGTTGGGACTACAGGCACATACCACAATGAGCAACTTTTTTTTTTTTTTAAGAGATGGGGTCTTGTTATTATTGATGTCACACTCCTGGATATTCTTTCACCTCAGCCTCCCAGAGTGTTAGGATTACAAGCGTAAGCCACCACACCCAGCCTCAGTACTGTCACCTGGCCTTAGTCTTTAGTATATTAAATGTTTATTAGATGATAGCAATCTCAGAGATATTTCATATGCCTTTTTTTTTTTTTTTTGAGACAGAGCCTCAAGCTGTCCTCCTGGGTAGAATACCGTGACATCACAGCTCACAGCAACCTCCAACTCCTGAGCTCAAGCGAGTCTCCTGCCTCCGCCTCCCAAGTAGCTAGGACCACAGGCACCCTCCACAACACCTGGCTATTATTTTTGGTTGCAGCCGTCATTGTTTGGTGGGCCCGGGCTGGATTTGAACCAGCTACTTTAGGTGTATGTGGCTGGTGCCGTAGCCACTTGAGCCACAGGCGCCGAGCCAGATATTTCATATCCTAGTGGAAACTATCTCTCCAAAGAGGCATCCTAGGACAATGATGTGAGAGGAAAAGTTCTTTTATTCTAAGTCTTTACCAAGTGGGTAGCAGAAAGGAAACTAAGGCAAAACTCCGATACTACAGAGCTGCACATCTGGGCAGAGATTAGAACTCAGATGACTTTAACCTTTGGGAAGTCTCCAAGGGAAAATTTCAGAATCTGAAGAAAGGTACTGTTTATTTAAGTCTCATATGGGAGGTTGTTTTTTTTTTTTTTTTTTGAGACAGAGTCTCACTCAGTCACCCTGAGGTTGAATGCCATGGTGTCACAGCTCACAGCAACCTCAAACTCCTGGGCTTAAGTGATCCTCCTGCCTCAGCCTTCCAAGTAGCTGGGATTATAGGCTCCCTTCACAATGTCTGGATATTTTTAAAGATGGGGTCTAACTCTTGCTCACGCTCATTTCAAACTGTGAGCTCAAGCAATCTGCCTGCCTCAGCTCCCACAGTGTATGAGGTTGACTTTAAAAGAAAGACCCAACAATTCAATTTTGAAGCTCTAAACTTAAAAGATCTCTTTGATAATGTAGCCAAAATGAAAAAAGTTCAAGCTGGCTCATACGTATAATCCTAGCACTTGGGAAACTGAGGCGGGTGGCCTGTCTGACCTCAGGAATTGCAGGCCCGCTTGAGCGTACTGAGACCCCATCTCTAAAAATATCCAGGCCTTGTGGATGGCACCTATAGTCCCAGCTACTTGGGAGACTGAGGCAAGAGGGTCACTTCAGCCTAAGAGTTTGAGGTTGCTATAAGCTACGATGCCACAGCACTCTACCAAGGGTGACAAAGTAAGATTCTGTCTCAAAAAAAAAAAAAAACAAACCCACAAAAACAAAAAAAGAATGACACCAGTCCTCACTGCAGGAATTTCAAACAGCATAACCGTTCAGTTAAGGCCCTGACCTGGACAAGGAAAAGATCAGCCCCACTCCCTTGTGCGTTTCAGCATACTACTCTCAATTATCATTAGGATTTTCTGTATGAAACTACAAATACTCTCGTTCAGGAGTGAATCTAAGGAGGAATTTTATGAGATTTTTAAAGAAGACAAAAGTAAGCTTGGTGCCTGTAGTTCAGTGAGTAGGGCACCAGCTACATACACCGAGGCTAGCAGGTTCAAGCCCGACCTGGGCCTGCTAAACAACAATGACAACTACAACCAAAAAATAGCCTGGCATTGTGGTGGGCACCTGTCGTCCCAGCTACTAGGGAGGCTGAGGCAAGAGAACTAGTTAAGCCCAAGAGTTTGAGGTTGCCGTGAGCTATGACGGCACAGCACTCTACCAAGGGCAACACAGTGAAACTCCAAAAAAAAAAAAAGAAAAAGAGGGTAAGTATTTAACTTAATTTTGCCAAAGAAGTAAAAGAACAGAAAGTGGTCCATTATTCCAATACCAATAATATACTTGGCAGCTTTGAGTGGGACATACCCAGCAAGTGAAATAAAAAACTGCTCTAATCTAATAACTGAAATGTATTATTCTGTACTCTATTACTAGTAGTATCCTTTCTCTATGTTTATCATTTGCTCCTTCAGAGAGTAATGTGCAATTGATTTCCCTCTTCAAAGGCAAGCAAAACTTATATTACTAAGGTCACTTATGACCTTCTCTGAACCAATCCAGCTTTGTCATTTTGTTTACATCTTTCCAGATCCTCACTGGCCCATAATTTTTTTTCTTTTTCTTTTCTTTCTTTTTTTTTTTGAGACAGAGACTCCCTTTTTTTGCCTGAGCTACAGTGCAGGGGCAACATCATAGTTCACTGCAACCTCAAACTCCTGGGCTCACATGATCTTGCCTTAGCCTACCAAGTAGCTGGGACTAAAAGGGTGTATCACTATGTCTGGCTGATTTTTCTATTTTTGTAGAGACAAGGTTTCCCAATTACCCAGGCTGGTCTCAAACATTTGGTTTCAAGCAATCATCTTGCCTCAGCCTTTCAAAGTGCTAGGATTACAGGCATGAGCCACCACGCCCAGCCCAGGCCCATTCATTTTAACCTAGCTGCCAGATAAAACTCAAGAGTTGGCTCGGTGCCTGTGGCTCAAGTGGCTAAGGCGCCAGCCACATACATCTAAGGTGGCGGGTTCAAATCCAGCCCAGGCCCACCAAACAATGATGGCTGCAACCAAAAAATAGCCAGGCGTTGTGGTGGGCGCCTGTGGTCCCAGCTACTTGGGAAGCTGAGGCAGGAGACTTGCCTGAGCCCAGGAGTTGGAGGTGGTTGTGAGCTGTGATGCCACGGCCCTCTACCCAGGGGGACAGCTTGAGGCTCTGTCTCAAAAAAAAAAAAAAAAAAAAAAAAACAAAAAAAAAAACTCAAGAGTTAAACTTTATACTCATTTATAATAACTTTATTAGCTTGGCTGGCCGGTAAATTTGTTTCTCTTTTTCCAATATGGATGCTAAGCCTTATTATTTACATGACTTCTGAAAGCTTCAAATACTATATGAAATGAGATACGCTCTCCATTATAAAAACATAGCCACTACAGTTCCCTACGTGAAACTTTCTGGCTACTATTTTCATTGTCACTTTGCTTTTCAGATTCTCCTTACAATCTCACCATGCATCCTACTTTTCCTCCTTTATTAAAACCCAGATCTTGTGACCAGCATAATCATTATCCTTTTTTAAAATCAGTACCTTTCAACACCCTAAAGTAAAATATAACTTCAGGGAGTTCAAAACCAGGCCTATTAATCATTGTGTACTGAAGAGGCTATACTTATGGGGGACAACAGTTCAGAGCACAGACAATGCTATAATAAATACAATCTTGGAATTTTATAGAAGATGCACCAGAGAATCCTATCCTAACAAAATAAGTCTATAATAGCAATTTTCCAACATGAGAAACGTGAGAGTCAAGTGTACTGAAAAATGGGTGCTTTATCTAATTTGCACAAAGATCATAAGCTAGGAGAGTCTCTGATTTTTCAAACCCATCACCATCACCAAACTCCAGAACCCAACCCAGTCTGAAATCACAGTCATTTTTTGCTCCTTTTATCTTAGTACTAAGTTCTAGAAGACTTCCACAGCTCTTCTAGATGTGATTTTCCTTTCAGTTTTTCCTGTCAGTGTTAGTCCTGGCCTTCACATTTTGTGGCTGACCGTTTTCCCAAATGCCCTCATCATTATTTTTCCTCCAAAGCTACTATTTATTAGTCATATGCATTTGCATATATGTACCACAAAATAGCTAACACTTCTATCATGTGCTGAACACTGTGCACCCTCATTTAATCATCAAACTTTGAGAATTAAGTACAATTTTTATCCCAACTTTGCAGATGTAAAAAAAAATTTTTTTTTTTTTT